AGGTGCTTCTGCTGTGAGAGTGAGTTAGATTTTGCTCTCACAGTAAAAGCCTCAAACTGGAAAAGCATGGTGCTTGCCCCAATTATTATTATTATTATTGCACATTAACTTTTAGTCACCAGTGCTCCCCTATGAGGAACATTGGATTGGACGAGAAGGGGAAGAGTCGGCTCTCCAACATGGGAGGTGGAAATGGTGGCTGCAGGGACTTTTTAATTAGATTAAGATGGGCCCTGAATCTACATGCTGAGGAGAACACTATTAAGAATGTAACACTATAGTGTTCTCTTAAATAGCAGCTTTTGTTCCTTTAATAGAAGTAATGTACAGAAACTTATTTTTCATGACCTTCACTGTACAATTTTCACGGTAGATGCAATTTTCTCCATCAAACTTAAATTTTTCACATTATCTTTTTTCCAAACTGACCCAAGCAGTGGCGCAAATGGTGGAAAATTTGAACCTCACAGCTTACTGCGTGGCGGAGATGATATGGAACCTGCGGTTCTTGCAACCACAAGGAACAACGTTGACCATCTGTTCCACAAGCTCTCCACAGTGAAACTCTCTCTGCAGGGGTGATAGACATAAGTGCTCAGCAGATATATGCTGAAATACAGACACTTGGGCAGAGAATCGCTGACCTGGAGGAAAAGTTGGAGGAGGTCATCCAGCGCCACAATAAAACTGCAGATCCCACCTTTTCTCTGCTGGCATGGGTGAAAAACTTAGAATCTTCACTGGAGGATCTCTCCAAAAGGTCAAGGAGGAACATCGTCCACCTAAGGGGACTACCCAAAGAGGTTCAGCAGACTGACTAGGTGGGGGTACTTACTGTTATGTTTAGGGATACCCTAGTTAGTTTATCTGAAGACATGTTCCTTATAGCACCCATGGCACTAGGAGCAGCGTGTCAGCTGGGGACCTCCCCCCCTTCGAGATGTGATAGTCTACTATTTTCACACTAAGGAGGCACTAATGCAGGGACTTTCAGCACACACATGAAGGAAAACTGGTCCTTATATTTCAAGATCTGGCTCCCTCCACTCTGGCCTGGTGCAAAAAATGGAGACCCTTTACTGACATCCTCTGCAAACATTTCATCTGTTATGCCTGGGGATATCCCTTCTGCCTAATAGTGATCCCCAATGGCAGAAATTATAGCTACAGTTCTCTAGGAAACTCTACGTCCTTCTCTCTATGAAGAGATGGCTTGAGGGAATTTATTATCCATCTCACCATACACCTGGAGAGAACATTCTCCTTATTTTGATACTCCGGTCTTTAGTGCTACCCTTTATCTTTTATTTTTCTTTACGTTTGACGTTCCTTATAATTTTACTTTGGCTATTGCTTTAAGTTTACATTTGCTGATATTGTGGATATGGAGTTCATGGCCCTTTCCTCAGCCCCTGTCCCTTTCCTCAGCCCTGTCCCCCTAGTCAGCCCCTGTCCACTTTCTCAGCCCATGTCCCCCATCCCAAGTCCCCCTCCTCAGCCCCATGCTGCCCCCCCAATGCGCTGAGGGGAGAGAGCCACATAAAGGGGCTGGGGGGTTGAAGAAAGAGACACTTGAAAAGAATGGAGGGGGGGAACACACAAAGGGGCTGGGGAAAGAAAGAGATACACAAGGGAGGTTATAAGAGACACTCAAGAGGGTGTAATACATACTAAATGGGGGATAAAATATACTAAAGAGAGCAAAAAAATCAAAAGGGGGGTTACAAGACACACAGGAGAAGGCACATTTTTTTTTTTAGAGGGTGCAGCAAAATGCATCTTTGTCTGTATAGCCAAAATCCTTGCACCGGCCCTGCCCAACCCCATGCAATAAAATCCTTGGAATAACATGAATAACATGCTGAGCCCTATGCAGAATCCTCTTTAGACTACCTTTGAGGTCATTCTTCATCAAAACATGTAGAACCCTCCCGAGAGGCATCTGGGAATGGAAATTGTATATTGGCACATTTTGGGTTGGCTCTTGGGCTATGGGAAAAAAAATACAACAAAGAAATTATAAAAACAATCAAAGAAATTGCAAACAGCACCAACATTAACTTCATATCACTTCACTAGTTAGTAACAACTGCAGCACCACCAAACTGGACCCAAAATGTCAGTTTTCACCAGAACTGGGGCATGCTACAGTCTCCATTGATCCTCCCATCCTATAAGTAAGGACCTACAACCTATAGCCTTTTGCACTGGAATGGATAGAGCATTCACTATAACTAATGGCCCCTTACGTCTGCATTTAACAATGTAAGCGTGGCCTTGTAATTGTCTGTTCTGCTCCAAGATGACCCCACTGTTTTGAGGTTTCGTAACAGGCATCTCTGCTCTATATGATATTGCTCTTTCCATTCTCCACACCTTTGCATGTGACATGTTATACCTCATCCTTTCTTTACATTTCCCTCCGTTTGAGCGCTCTTTTCATGTCATTGTTTTAAATTTATGGATTTAATGTGGGGGAATGTGGAACGTCCTTCTAGGCCCCCTTTTTTCTCAGTTCTCTGGCAATTTCATTGAGCTGGTTCAGAAGGATGTGGCTCTCCCTTGTTCAAGGCAGCTTCTGCCCTATGTATGCAGCAATAATAGCCATAATGGTTTTCACTTCTTCCTTTCCTAGTCACCTCCTTTCTTGACATCCTGTCTGTTCAACTCTTCCATGTTGGGTCGGAAGTGCCAGTGGTGGGGCCTAGGTGGAGACCACATATCCTTTAAAATGCTTCTCAGTAAATCTTTCCAATGGTCTTCTCAATGCTAAGGGAAATGGAGACTTATGTTTTGAGACCTTAAGCAACTTAAGGCCAATGAAGCTTTTGTATGGAATTTTTGACCCTATGATGGTCTCTACTCAAGGGTTTTGTTTAACAAAAGAAAGGGTCTCTATTCGTATGCATAGAAACTGTCATTTTGTCATTGAGGAAAACATTTCTGATACTCAGGGAGGCTTGATCTTAATTAAGGGTACAATCACCTCTGCTCAATACTCTCTAGGTTGTAAATACACCCCAACAATACTGGATAGGGAATTCTGGGCCACACTATCAGAGATAGTGATTCTGGGCCTTCACAGATGGTATTGTAATTCTGGGATTAGATTTTAGACACACACCTGGGCCCACGCCCTTTGGATTTAGGTGGCAGGTACACATTTTTTGCTTCCTTTGTTCAAGATTCTTATCTGCTGGACATATAGAGAGCTTGATACTGCTCAGTTAGTGACTACTCCTATTTCTCCAACCCTCATCAGTCTTACTTACATGTAGATTATTTTTTAATATCTCCGTGTGGAGCTCCGGATGTCCATTTTATGGATGGACCATGCCCGACTTATAATGGAACTTAACATTTCCATGCTTACCGAGCCATGGTCAAGGAGAGAGTGGGAGTTGAGAATGCATGCCAGATGGATAAAGACAAGTCGTTCTAGCTTTGAGGAGAAAGGGAGCAGAACTGGTATGGTCACTGGAAAGTAAAACGGGTCAAGAGCTTTGTAGGATAGGTAAGACAGTACATGTTTAAGTGTGGCCGTGACAATGACAGAAAAAAGAGAGTATTTAAGAGGCATGTGTATCAGTACATTCTGTATCTTATGTTTTGTTCTATTCTAGGAGTGGAAGTTTCTTACCAGAATGTTTGCTTGTCATTATGCTTGTCTATCTACTGTTGTATTCCACTACTTTGTCAATCTTTATCTTCTTTAAATGAAGAATTAAAAAAGCAAACAAAACAAAACTCCTTTACTGTCTAAAGATAACAGACTTTCCATTCTCATGGAGTGAGAAGGAATTAATTATCTTCATTCCTAATAATATTTCCTCTGTCAATGGAAGACTGCAAACAAGTAACCTTTAGAACTGAAATTGTTATTAAAACACAGTTTTTTTTAGTTGAGGAAGGGACCGTATTAAAGGTCTATTTAGCAATACACCACAAATCAAACCTAAAATAGTCTGACTGGGCATGCTCACAAAAAAACAAATAAACCCTTTCTTTGTATTGGCAAAGAGCAGTACAATGTGCTACTTTCCTTATAGTGTTGAAAGGGCAAAAATATGTAAATCAAATATATATATATATATATATATTTTTTTTTTACATTATAATTGTATTACAGTATTGCGACAAGAGGACCAGGAAGTGCTCTATTGATTGGAATTTTCTAGCCAAGTCATATTATTGGTATCCTCTACTTCACTGGTCATGGATTGGAGGGAGTGGTAGAGAATATTTATTGGTTCTTTCCCTTTGTAGTATTCCCTGTACCACATCACACATAGAATAGAGATAGGCTTTGGAATTTTCCTTGAGTACCAGCATTATCCTTCCCTCCAAGCCTTCTGCACATGGGGTGGAGAAAGAGGCAGCCATTGACAAGGTTCCCTGATCAATCTTTCCATCCTGGGCACCCTGCTTTTTTAATTTTTTTTATTTCGTATGCAGAATGTTAGCAGACATAGAACAGGTTTGAAAAGTGAGTGCACTGGTGCCTACGCAGAGGCATAGTATGTCAAACAAACAAAGGTAAGGCTTATTACACATTTCATAGCAATTCCGACCTAGGTAATGATGTTACATAACATCTGATAGAGAACAGGTTACCCACGCAGGGGTAGTAGTGTATATTTGGTAGATGGCTTGAAATGCAGGGTTGCAACATTAGCCTACGCAGAGGCTTATAATGTATGATCGGTGTGATTATTGAGACCGGCATTTTTATTTTTTATTATACCCTTTTAAATTTTTTAAATTTATTTAGCGCATTGTGTATGTAGTCTCATAGGGCATAGCAGCTGTGGTGATATTGCTTTACGATATATTGCATAGTGGTCACTATTACGTACATTCCATAGGGAATTGGTTAGCAGATGTTAGAGTGCTATATAATGAATCTAGGTCAGTTTTCGTAGAGGTCTATAGCAGTACATCTCTGTTGGTTGCCTTTTAGGAGCATCCATGCTCAGAACCCGTGTCGTGGTGCCCTCGTATTATTTATCTCGGTTCGAGGCTGTCACCGGGTTGGGGTCAGTCAGGCTATCTGTGTGCCTTTGTGTGGTTGTGGGTGTGGGGGGTGTGTTCTTGTGCGTGTGCTGCTGGTGGTATTTGTTTAGTAGTGTGGGGGTTAATGGCTTATGGTCCCGGTGGGTGGGAGACTCGTTTGGCATGCTTCTGTGGGTAGTGTCAGCCCCCCTTTTTCTAATGTGGTGTCCTGGTCCTTGAGTCTGGGAGGGAGGGATGTCTGCTGTGCTCGCTGTGGTATTAGGAGACTATATATCTCTCATTTCTGGACAGAGAATAATGACAACCATATTCCTCCCATAGCCACCAAATCACCTGAAACAAGAACATAGTACATGTAATTTTAACATGTAGTTGAATAATTATTATATTTTAACAAAGAGGTGCAGAATTCAGCAGCCAACTATGAGCCAATGGTCTCCTAGTGGCTAGTTTATTTTTTGTAAAATACATTTTTTGTCCATGTATCCAAGAAGAACCTCCAATTGATCTTAAACCCACATTTTTTTTTTAAATTAGCCACTTCTGCCATGATTTTTCTCCGCATTGTTCTAACCCAACACTTATGCTGCAAAATAGAACACACATTTTTTAATTTAACAAATTTTATTAGCACATGTATTTTTACTGCACCTACTAAATTTACTCCACTGATTATTATGGCAGGAATAAGCCAATTGTCCTATTCAATTTGCCAATTCTTCAGTTTACCTAAAAGGTATTTTTTTTTTTAAATTCCTTTCATTTGACGGTATGTCTTGGAATTTACTACCATGTAAGCTTCCGTTGAATTTATCACCATTTTGTTTTGAATATGTTTATTGTTTCCATAACATAAATTCCATTGCAAACTTTTTTGATGTTAAGCAGTCAATCGCCTGCGCAGAGGCGCTGTTATCGATACATGAATATGTCAAAGTAATCATGTCATGACAAATTTTTAAGGGTACATAAGTTTTGCAGAATTAAGTACATTAGTTTCGTTAAACCGGTTTGGCAATGCTGTGTGTTAGTGTTGTATCAGGCATGTTTGGTGGTGATGTCAATAGGTGGTGTATGGGCTACCATTATGTGTCTGTGAGAATTGATTTTTTGACAGAAGTGTGTGAATGTGTTTATATTGTTGTCTTGTGTTGGCTTGGTCGTACAGTAGTTTGTATCAGCGGGGTTGTGTATTTGCATTGTGTTAGCTGGTGTGTGCTGGTGTTTGTGTTAGTTGGTTTCTGCAGGTGTTGTGTGTTAAATTGTTTTTACTTTTACGTTTGTATTAATTAGGCTAATGTACATTGAATTCAAACTTCTGATTCAAACTTGTGCGTCAACATCGCCTGATCAGAGGCTCTGCCCGTATAACAAAGGTGGCGGGCAATATGTCTGTGCAGATGCTGACTGTTTGTATTGCTCTACTATAGCATGGTAGTCGGTGTGCTGTCTTCACAGTAGCTCAATTATTTTTAAAAACGTTGGCCTGTTCTGGTGTGATGCAGTAGTCGTCCCTTATATCGTCATGTGCGAGCTGGTGTGTGGTGTGTGGTAGGTCTGTGGTGTCCTGTGTGTGTTTCCCCAGGGTCCTTAGGGGTAGGTTGTTTTTTTTTAAATTTTATTTATTTATTTATTTATTTATTTTTTTGTGTTTCCCTCCCCCTTTGTGGGTCTTATATGTTTAATCCCTTTTGGGTGTGATGTGGCTGTCTTGGATATTGCCATTGTTGGGCTCGTAGTTGGTCGGGTGTGTCAGGGCGGTCCAGGTGGTCACTGCTTCGTGGGCCTTGGTGATGCATTCATTAGGTTTGGTTAGTTATGGGTCTGCTAGTGGCTTTTTTCACTGCGCTTTTGATCTTAGCCCTGTCCGTCTTTGTCCATTGCATGGCTAGTCTGTTGCACGGCCCTTTCTATGGGTTCCTGTAGTGGGTGTTGTGTGGTTCTCGGCTCTCGTTCACGTGTGTGTATTCCCTGCGTCCCCCTGTCTTGGTGTCCCCGGGGGGGTGTCTCCCGTTATGGGCCGGGTGTTCCTGTGTGAGTTTGGCCCTCTTGTTGAGGGGTTATGTGTCCCTAGTGTGTTCCCTGTGTTCTTGTGGTTGGGTGGGTTGTCTGGGTTGGGTCTTGTCATTGGTTGGTGACTGGATCTTGTGTGGTTGTATGGGTGGTCGTGGGTCTCTGGGTTATGGGTTGCAGTATTAGTGGTTCATTGAGCGTCTGTGAGTGGTGCGTTTTCCCCCAGCTTTATGTTTGCCTCCCGTTGGAGTGCGACTAGGGCAAAGCCTTGGTGTGTCTGGGTTAGGAAGGTTGTCGTGGTCTCTGTCCTATGTCCAGTGTGGTCATTGAGGTGTGGGAAGGGAGGTCTCGTGAGTTGGTGGGTTCGCACTCCCCGTCACCGCTCCAGGTCCGCCGCCCCCCGGGTGCCCCTGCGTCTCTCGTCTCGCTTTTGCTTATGGTTCGGAGATGTGCTGTAGGAAGTCGTCCGTGTTAATGTTTCAGAGCCAGTGGAACCAGTGTTTTGTGTAGTTGTCTTTTTGTTTTGGGGTGGTTGCTTTCATATCTTCGTATTTTCTCACTTCCTCCACTTCCTCTATCCATCGTCTCATGGGTGGTGTACACGTCTGCTTCCAGAACATGGGGATCGTTGCCTTAGCTGCGTTTAGGAGTCTCGGGATGACGGATCTGGAGTAGGCCGGTGTCGACATGGTGGTGTGGTGGAGGAGAAAGGCGGCTGGTGTCCGTGACAGGGTCTCGTCCGTTATGTCTTGAATTATTTTCCGAATCGTCTCCCAAAAGGGTCTAATGCGTGCACATTCCCACCAGATGTGTTTGAAAGTGCCTATCGCTTCTTCGCATCGCCAGCATGTGTCTGGGATCTGGGGGTCTCGTGCATGGAGGCTGGATGGGGTTATGTACCACCTGGTAAGGATTTTATAGGAGTTTTCTTGGAGTCTCGCCGAACCCGGTGTTTTCTGTACGTGGGTGATGATTTTGTCCCAATCTGCATCTGTTAGGGTCTCGTGTATATCCTCCTCCCAACGTCTAATGCATGGGGGTGCTAGGATGTATCTGTTTACAATTATGGCTGAGTAGATCTGCGATACGGCCTTGGCTGGTTCCCGGTCTTGAGTGCATAGGTATTCGAATTGCGTCTTTTCTCGTATTAGATACGGCTTTTGGGGGATTGATCGGGCGTATTGTACTATTTGTGCTCTAGCTAGGGTATGTGTGAATGTGTGTGGTTGATCCGGGAAGAGTTCTGTCGTCGGGCGGACTGTGAATGGCTTTTGAAGTACGTCTTTGATGCGTAGGGTTGGTATGTGTCTGGTGAGTCCTGGTATTGGGCCCTGATCTCCTGCTGGGAAGTCCGGGTTGCCTCTCAGAGGGAGTAGTGGGCCTGGGTCCGTCGTTAAGTATTGTTTAGTGCCCTGTCTGTGCCAGATCCGCATGGTCGCTGTTACAAATGGGTTCTGTATTTGTTTATGTCTGTACGCGGCTTTCGTAATCCATGGCAAAGTCCTTAGGTCACAGTTTGTGGTGTCGGATTCCAGCTGGATCCATAGTTTCGTGCTGCCTTCCACGGACCAGCTCAGGATCCTGTTGAGGTGCGTTGCTTGATAATATTTTTCGAAGCCTGGGAGCGCCAACCCCCCTCGGAGTTTGGGCAACGTCAATTGAGAGTGTGCTATTCGTGGGGATCTGCCCTTCCATACGAACTTGCGGACCTCCGATTTCAGAGTGGCGAAGAACGAATCTGGGGCCAGTATCGGTACTGTTTGGAATATGAAGAGGAGTTTGGGTAGCAGTGTCATCTTGATCGCGTTCACTCTTCCCAGCCAGGAGATATAGTATGAGTTCCATGAGCGCAATTCTTCAATTGCCTTTTTTAGGATGGGGGTGTAGTTGTGGGTATAGAGATCCGTCGGGTTCGGTGTAAGCTTAACACCTAGGTATCGCATGGATTGGTCGCACCATCGGTAAGGATGTTGTCGTTGGAGTGACCGCCTGAGTGTGTGGTTGATGGAGAGACCCAGGATTTCTGATTTTGAAAAATTGATTTGGAGATTCGAGACATGGCCATACGCCTCGAATTCCGACTGGATGGCTTGCAAGGTCGATTCTGGGGATGTGACTATGAATAGGAGGTCGTCCGCGTAGGCCAGTGTTTTGTGGTGTGTCTGTCCTATTTTCAACCCCTGTATGTTGTTGTTAAGTCTGATGTGGTTTAAAAAGGGTTCTAGCGCCAGTGCAAAGAGTAGGGGTGACAGCGGGCAGCCCTGCCTGGTCCCGTTATAGATCTGGAATGGGTCGGTCAGTGCTCCATTGATCCGAATGCGGGCTGTTGGGCGCGTGTATAGTGCCTTTACCCAGGTGAGGTAGTTCGGTCCGACGCCGAGGTGCTGGAGTGTGCCAAACATAAGATCCCAGTCTACTCTGTCGAACGCTTTTTCAGCGTCTGTGGACAGAAGGAGTGTTGGGGTCCTCAGTGATCTGGCGTGGGCTATGATGTTCAGGGCTCTGATAGTGTTGTCCCGTACCTCTCTCCCCGGGATGAATCCCGTTTGGTCCGGGTGCACTGTCGTGGGCAGCAGTGGTGCTAGGCGCGCCGCCAGGACACTTGCTAAGAGTTTGAGGTCCGTGTTCAACACGGAGATTGGGCGGTAGCTTGGGCAGAGTGTAGGGTCCTTACCGTCCTTAGGTAGGAGGGTGATGTTCGCCACTGTGAACTGGGCTGTTGGGGTGGCTCCCTCCAGAATGGAGTTGAGGGCCGTTTGCAGTTTCGGGAGGAGGTCTGTTGTAAAGGTCTTGTAGTAGGAGAGGGGGAAACCATACGGGCCCGGTGCCTTGCCTGTTTTCGCCTTTTTGATGGTGAGGGCCAGTTCCTCGGTTGAGATGGGGGTTTCCAGGTTTTCTCGGTCGGCGTTTTCTAGTCTGGTTCCCCTTGCTGTATCTAAGTATCTCTGGATCTCCTCTAGTTTGTGGCGGTGTGGTCCCTCTGGTGTGTCTTGACGCAGGTGGTATAGTCCTTGGTAGTAGGTGAGGAACGCGGATGCTATTTGGTCCGGGAGGTGTAAGTGTTGCTGTCGAGGGCCTTTGATTTTCGGGATGTATAGTAGGGACTTGCGCTGTTTTAGTAGGTTCGCCAGTAGCCTCCCGCATTTGTTCCCATGTTCATGAATTATGTGTTTAAAGTGTTGGTATGAGCGCTGTATCGAGCAGTTCAGGAGTGTCGAGAGTTGTTCCCTCTTGACGGTCAGGTCTCTGTATGTCTCTGCATCTAGGGTGCGTTTGTGTTTGGCTTCCAGGGCTGCGATCTCCTTGCTGAGGGCTACCGTTGCCTGCGTTGCTTCTCGTTTGCGGGTGGCGCATGTTGTGATTATCTGTCCCCTGATCACCACTTTATGGGCCTCCCAACATGTCAGGGGTGTCGTGTCTCCTTGCTTGTTGTCTGTGAAGTAATCTTGTATGGACTGCCTGGTCTTTTCTACCACCAGTACGTCCGAGAGGATCGATTCATTCAATCTCCAGGAGGTTTGTCGCGGTCTGTAAAGAGGCGATTTTACTGTTATTCGAACCGGGCATTGATCTGACCATGTCATAGGTAGTATTTCCGCCCTGTTGAGGAGGACGAGGTCGCGGTGTGGCATGAGGAAATAGTCTAGTCTAGAGTATGTCGAGTGCGTTATGGAGTAGAATGTGTAGTCGCGGGTCAATGGGTGTAGTGCGCGCCAGTAGTCCGCAAGTTGATGGTAATGGATGGTGCGCAGCGTTCTGGCGTTTCTGTTGTCCGGTGTGGGCCTGTGTTTGGCTGTTGAGTCTTGCTCTGCGTGCAGTGTCAAGTTGAGGTCCCCGCCGACGATCAGGGTGCCTTCTGTGAATTTCATCAGTGTGTTGAGTGCAGTACGTAGGAAGAGGTGTTGTTTTGTGTTTGGAGAGTAGAGGTTGGCAAAGGTGTACGTCTGATCTAGAATGGTGCCTTTCGTAAAGATGTATCTGCCTTGTTTACATCTGAGTGTGGCTTGCTCTACATACGGGATCCGGCTAGAGAAGAGGATTCCCACTCCCAGTGTGAGTCGGTCCGGGTTGTTACTAAAGTATCCCTGCCGAAAGTAGCGGTCTTTCAGCGCTGGCGCTCGGCCTTCCTGGAAGTGTGTTTCCTGAAGAAACGCTATGGAAGTCTTGTAGTGTTTAAGGTCCCGCAGGAGTCTGGAGTGCTTCTCATGTACGTTGAGGCCGTGGACGTTGTAGGTGACGATTGAGAGGTCTTCCCGGGCGAATCGGTCCATCCCCGGAGTCGGCATCCCCGGTGCGGCCAGGGGGGGTCAAGCGGTGCAGTGATGGGGGGGTGGGGGTGGGTACGTCTGATATGTGGGGGATGGGTGTGCGGTCTATGTGTGGTGGCGGATGTGTCAGAGTGTATGGCCAAGTTGATTGTGGTTTTTACTGTGGCGCTTGAGCTTTATCCGGTGTAGGATAGTGGACAGGTGTCTCAGTGATCAGGTCCCCTTTTCCAGCTGTGTGCAGGGGTCGGGTCTGAGCTGAGATTGAGGTCACACCCTCCGAATGAGGGATCGTCGTGTCCTATTCCTATGGGGGCGGCGGGGTGCCGATCTAGTGTGATGGGCCCTGCCCTGTGTTGTTGTGGTTTTGCCCGTTGTGCTCTGGGCTTGTTGGAGGAGTTTGCCTACTGTTTGGGGTTTGTGGGTGTCTGTCTCCTATGTGGCCTTGGTCTATTTTGTCCGCTTCGCCTTTCATTGTGGTGCGGGTGTGGGGCGTCCGCTGTTAGCGGGTAGTGACTGGTCTGGTTTGGTTCGCGGTTGTCTGCCTTGGCGGGTTCTGTGGTCTGGTCTCCGGGGATTCCCATGTCGGGTTCTGGGGTTTGGGTCTTTGGTCGTATGTGCAGGACGGGTGTTGGGCTCTAGGTCCTCCGTTCGTGTAGTCGGGGTGTGTCCGTTGGGTCCCAAGTGTGGTCTCTGTGGGGGGGGTGGTTGGGCCCGTGGGTGTCGTCGGAGGTGTGGGCTGCTAGCACTGTTGCCTACAGCGGTTCTGCGGTGTGTGCTTGGGTGCAAGGGGCTCTATTTGTTCCTCTGTGTCTTGGCGGCTTTCTTTCTTGCCGTGGGTGTAGTGCGTCTCTAGCGTTTATGAGGTGGGTGCTGCCGTGGGGTCAGGGTTACTACTGGGGCTCTCAGTGCCTATCCCCTCCCTTCCATCCCCCCACTAGGGTCTGTCGCACCTCCCTATAGTAGTGTGGTGTCTGCTCCTGGGTGGTGGCGCTTTTGCCTCTGTGCGGGTGTCTTGCCTGCGTGAGAGTCGGGTACTTAGGTAGCGGTGACGTGGGCAGTTCACCCTTGCCTGTATGGTGTCAATCGTCGCATGTTCGTGACTGTGCCCTTATGTTTGCCTACTGCCAAGTGCTGGTGGTTAGGCATGTCCGTACGTCGGGTGGCTGAGTCTCAGGTGGTGGTGTGTCGCGGAACAAATGTGTTATCTAGGGCTCCCCTCCACTCCCTCCCTTCCCCCTCCCTGTTGTGTACTTATGTACCCTTCCGGGCCGCGTGCGAGGGTTGAGCTACTGTGTTGCGTTGGGCTCTCCAGGCTCTGGGTGCCAGTCCTTTCGTGTGTGTCTCTGAGCATCTGTGAATGTCGCGTTTTGGTTCGGTCTTCGGATCTCACTCGGGTGCGTCTTCTTAGGTGATCCTAGGGAGCGTGCTCTAGTTGCCTTTCCATTCTCTCCTTTCTTACCCTTTCGTGCCCCCTTTCCCCCTCCCCTCCTCTTTTTTTGTTCCCTTCGTGTAAGTCCATGTCATGGTAATGAGCCTTGTGTCCCGTCCCCCACCCAAAAGCCCCCAGAGTTCCTCCCATACGGTTCATGGGGTCTGCTGGTTGATTGTGTGGTCGATCTCTTTGTGTCTGACCAGCATCTTTATGGGAGCAGCCCCCCCTGTCTCCCCTCCCAAAGCCCCATGCGGTATGTTCGAGTTCTGTGTTGTGTCCCCATGTTAAGTACTCACAGTTTGTTGTGTTCGTCTGCTGTTAAGTGGATTCCCTTTCTTGTCTTTTGCCGCCAAGGCAGTGCTGTGCTGTGTAGGGTTTACATCTCGCGTCTAGGTCGGCCAGGGTGTCCATCCCGGTGGCGTTGCGGTTGAGGTCTGTGCTGGTTCGGGTCACGTCCTTGCGGCTGCTGGGGCCTGTTTGGTTGTAGGAGGAATGACCTCGCCAGCCAGTTGGGGACCGTTACTGGTGGGAGTCCCAGGGTGCGCATGAATGCGTGGACGTCGTCGGGTTTCCGTATCGTCAGATAATCCGGGCCGTGTCTGGCGGAGAGGGAGAAGGGGTAGCCCCAGCGGTACTGTATGCCAGCATGTTGCAGGGCAGTGGTGATTGGCCGTAGTGCCCATCTGGCTTGTAGCGTGTAGCGGGAGAGGTCCTGGTAAATTGTTATGGTCTGGTCTTCCATGCGGATGGTGCCTATGCGTCTAGCCGTGCGCAGAATTTCTTCCTTCAATTGGAAGTTATCCAGGCAACAGACTATATCTCTGGGTTGGTCTTCTGGTGTGGGTATAGGACGCAGCGCTCGGCGACCCATCTGTGGTGTTTGTGGGGTGCGAGGTGAGCGGGTAGTGCTTCGCGATCGCGGGTGCCACGAGGAGCTGAGCAGTTATGTGGCCATGTTCTCCGGCTGCCGGACACGCCCCCCCCTTTATCACCATTTTGTCTCTCATACTATATTCCTGTCTGTGAAATTTGTAAAGAAATGCTAATAAGCATATTTACAAAGGGTGGAAATGTAATATGATATACATATGAGCACAGCAAAGTTGGTGTGTATGATACATTTATGTATATGCAATCTATAGTCAGGTGGGGAGCTTGTATACAAGGCTGTGGAAATGTTCCATCTTGTTTGCACAGAAGCTTTCTCTATATTGACTATCCAGCTATTGTCTACAGTTGTATAAAGTTAATAGAAAGAGAATGAATGGAGAATTTATCACACTAGAGGGTGTTATCAAAGTGAGAACTTCTGGGATCCTTTATCTAACCTTTACCTCAGCCCTAGCTCTTGTTGACACAACCCTGCTTTCCTATAGGGTGGTCTAATGTGTGCGCGGCCATTGCCGCGCATGCGCATTAGGTCTCCCCCGCCGGCTGTCGTTGGTGTGGGAGGAGCGTGTGCATAGCTGGATTCAGGTAAGTGGCTGAAGGGGTTTTGACCCCTTCAGCCCCACAGGAGGATGGCCCGAGGGAGGGGGGGACCTATAATCCTATAGTGCCAGGAAAACGACTTTGTTTTCCTGGCACTAAAGGATCCCTTTAACCCCTTAAGGACACATGACATGTGTGACATGTCATGATTCCCTTTTATTCCAGAAGTTTGGTCCTTAAGGGGTTAAGTACAGTGACAATAATCTCAAACTTGACATTGCTTATGAGCAAAACAAACCTGACAATATTTAATGAAAAAAAATTACAATGCTTCCTATATGATGAATAAAAATACATAAAATACAAATAAGCATTGTTGCAATAATGTAACATTGCAAAATTGAGAACAATACAAATACACGTCTGATTTGAACATACTTAAAAGAACACACACACATATCAAGGTCTATTTGTAATTACTGTTATTTAAAAGCAAAACCAGCTAAATACCCAGTTTTTTGTCCAAGCGAATTTCAAATTTAAGGCCAAAATAGTCAAACTTGAAAAATCCACAATACTTTGAGTTCAGCTACTTTGGCCTAAAATCTAAAATTCATTTGAATTGATTTTGAATTCTCATTTTAGTGAATAACCCTGAATTGTGCTCAGCACTGTTATCAAGAGAAAAGATTGACAGAATTTTAATACTGAAACTTTGCTTTATATAAATAAATGATGATAATGGCAAACATAATAAAAATATTGATACGTACCGTTACATACGGAAGCCCAGAGACAACATGTATTTTTTATATTTTACAAACTAATCTTGAGAAAACAACTTGTTTTCTTGAGGTAACAAGTCAGAAAAAATATTAAAAATACATGGCCTTTCTGGGCTTCCGTAATTACATTTTGTAACAGAGACATTTATTAATCAGCTACCAGTTTAGCTACATCTGCTTTGCTAAGTGAACTCCCATAGGGAGAAAGAAAATGACAGAATTTCTGCCATTATTTTTATCACTCAATGGACTATTCATTAAATAGTGAAGATAGTGAGGATTGTATGAATATCCATAATATATCTGCACATTATTGATTGTTGTTTGTACTGTCACTGGTTCATCTAATATTAAATAGGTTTGCCAAGCAATTAAAAAACATATTGGAAAACAGAAAAACATTTTTTGCAGATATTGTAGCCTTCCCCCATAATAAAATAGTTACCACATTTGTTTTTGAAAACTGGAAATGGACAATTATATAGACTTCAATGTAAGATTTTTTTTGATAAGCTATTGATATTTTGTTAAATATGAGATTTGTTAAATCTAGGCCATAATATCTAAAACAGTCCTATCTATACCTAGCCCGTAACTTTATCCTAATTCTAAAATATACGTAGCTCTCATCCTAACCCAAGCCCTGATACTGCAGTTAGACCAAATACATAAGCATCAAATACCTCACTTAAATACTGTATATGTACATAATAAGATGGGTATAATAAGTGGGCTCAGCGTAATTATAGCAGCACTGAATAATACGCTTTAAAACACTATACTTGTTTTTTTCTATAAGATGCATATGCAGATATTTAAGTGACGGATATGACAGCAACTGCAAAAGTTTTCAATAACTGATGTATATTTGGACTTATTATTCTATCAAAGCCTTCTCCATGCTAAACCAACACTGAAGTTTAATCTTTTAACTACTAATATCATATTACACCTGATGTTTCACTTGAGTACTGTCCTCTTCATTTATGTCTTTTATTTTAAATTAGGAGTGCTACCTTCACAAATGATATTGCTTGCTCTTAGTTTACGGAAGAGATTTTTTTTTTTTCCATTTACAAATATTTGCTTTTTGGACATTTATGCCACACACAATTACATCATTATGTATATTGTTTACAAATGTACTTTACTTTTTATTTTTTACACACAACTACATCATGTCATCTTGATCTTTTTTTACAAAGAAATAAATAAAAATAAAATAGATTATTATTATTATGATTATTAGTTTACATTTAGACAGCTATTATGGTTATTTTACTAGGGTGAGAATTAAAAGTAAATTCACAGTAAGTTTCACACTAAAGGCAGAGTAGCCAAATTGAGAGCATTGCTGACTTAGAGAATGTTTACATTTTGGCTATTTTAAGTTTACATTTGAAATTCACTTTGAATTCTCACTTTGGTATATAACTTTTTGTGGTTTACCATTTTATTTTTACTTATCTAGATTGTCTGTTATTTCAACAGTTCAGCCCTACTGTGTTGTTACTGTATTTTTCAGAAATATTGGGGAAGTTTCATCAAAGCTGTCTTGTGTACAAAAAGGGTGAGGTAATCACCATGGAAACCAGTGGAACCAACAGGTCCATTTAATTGGTGACTTCTCTTCCCATTATGCTACTTTTTAGAACAGAACACTTTGATAAATCTCTTCGCCATCAACATTTTTGACAATTTCAGTCATGTGTTACATATTTTGTAAAAATGGTTCAAGAAAAATATTGTTTGATAAAAAAATATAGCATTTTAAAAGTAAACGATAAGGGAGAAATTACCACAAAAAGAGACATTTTATTGTGTAATGCAGTCATCGACCAGATCATGAGGTTTAATTATTCCCTCCTCCAACTTCATTCCTCGGACACTTGCATATTTGTTAAGATGCCTTTGGTGAGTGTTTGAGGCCATAAATGTCATCATTGTTTATTTGGGATAAGACAGATTTACTAAATGTATCACGAAGTTACTGTAAAAGTGAAAAGTCATAAAATAATTAATGGGATAGTCCCCTTGTGTTGTTCTCACCTTGACTGGAAAATTTTCACCCAGCTGTTTGTGTCAAACAGATTATAGAATCAAAGCTCACTGTGGGGATCATTGTATATCACTTGGTTAAAGATCTAGTGAGTACTGACCTCCTGGTCACCTTTCACCCCATGTCTACATTTTGCTGTCAGTTGATGTTGTGAGTAGGTTTTGGTAGCACCCAGGTCCTGAAAGGTTAGGTATTAAAGTTGTGGTATGTCTTTAGAGACCCAACTCATCATCTATGGATGCAAAAATCTAATGTACATATTATGAATATCTGTCTATTTCAAAACACAAATAGAAGCATACCCTCAAAGACTGGCTTCTTTTAAGGATAGGTGAATATTATTATTACTATCATTGCCATTTATATGGCACAAGTATATTGGGAAGCAATTCCCAATTAAACACGAGGGATATATAGACAATAGATATGTATACAATAGATAGATATATAGAAAGATGTAAGCTTGTTTGAGCAGGGCCCTCTTCAATCTATTGTTCCTGTAAGTTTTTGTAATTGTTTCATTTATTTTTAAATCTCCCCCTTTGATAATATTGTAAAGCACTACGGAATATGCTGGCACTATATAAATACCAGTAATAATAATAATAGATAGATAGAACAGCAAGTAACAAGTGACACACAACTAATGATGACAAACTTGGAAATTTATAAATGGAGCTCATTACAACTGATAAACCTGGATGATGATTACTTTCCCCTTCATTATCCCCCACCCATTTTCTCCCTCTTTTCTTTTATTTCTTGTATCTTATTTTTTTGTTTTTATGTTTACCTGCTAAAATTTAAACATGTGGACAAGCATTTATATTTCTTTATTATCTTTGCCATTGGAGGTAACTGATATATTCTTAATGTACTCAATATATAATTATATTTTAAATAAATAATAATAATAATAATAACAGATACAAAAGGCAAAGAGGACACTCCTCTTCCAGCAAAGCTTACATATGAAACTCTTTATTGCTTTATTTTATTGCATGCTCTTTATTGACATACAGAACAGTTATTGCAGTTATAGTCGCCAAAAACATGTTTCCATGTTGCATACAATATAATTAATTTATCCAATATTATTTTACTTGTGGGATTCTTTGGCCAAGCTGGCAATGTTTTTCGTATAATTTTAGAAGGCTCATATTTCAGGTTTTAATTATGTCCTTAGATTTCTAACAAAACATAGACTAGAAAACCAGATATGATTAGATTACAAGTTAACCTTAAACTAGATGATACGAGATTATTTAATATGCCACATCTCTAAGATTAAAAAAGTTTGCATCTGTTCGAGGTAATCATAGAATCTGGTGACAGATAAGAAGCAGCTGTGCCATCTAATCTGCCAATTCATTCTTTTAAAAACTCTTTAGAATCCCCCCCCATTTTCTCCATAATTTTCTACACCTATGGCTTAGGGAAAATTTCTCATCAAATCATATATACATATGGATGTCCACAAATATGCAATGTACCTCATACATGAATTATATTAATATACTTATCTCGCTGTCTTCAAACTCACACAGATGCCTTATCACTAATGTGGATTTACCTGCTTTTTGAAAGGCAATTTGC